AGAGCAAAAAAACGACGAACGACGTGGACTGTCTACACGGAAGTACGCGTCAACATGAGACACATTGTGAGACCAGAATACAACTTATAATTGAGGTGCTCGTAATGGTGCAGGGCGGCATGAATGTGTATATGTATGTGTACATATGTATGTAAGAAAGATGTATGCACACAAAGGTATACCGATACATAGACATATGTAAACATGTGCATTTAAATACATAATTATATGTATGCATTTATACACTTATATCAATATAGATCTATACATATATACATATGTATATATTATCCGCTGGCCCCCTTGTGGGGCCACCAGGCTGTAGGGCGAAAGTTTGCTGCTCCCTGCACCAGTTGCAGTTTCCAGTTTCCAATGTGCTGGCTCTACTTTCTGCTTCCTACTGTTAAGTGTTACTGAACGCGAGGGAGGGGAGCCGAAAACCCACACTTTACCACGCCCCTTTCTGGGGGTTCGCAGACTTCCCGGGGGGGCGCGGGACTCTTACGCGGAAACTGCCGGGCGCAAAATTGTAACATCGTGGCGCGCGAATTCGCTGCTGGTAGCTGTTGCTTGCTGCTGTGAGTTGTCGTTAGCTAGCGTTTGCTGCTGCGCCCCGGGCGCGAGGAAACACATGTGGGAAGAAGAAGAGGAAGGAAGCGAAGGAGGAAGAAGACGATGACGAGGACGAACGCGGGGAGGAAAGGGAGTCGCGGAGGGGCGAAAGGCGGAAGGCGAGGAGCACTATCAGAAGGTCAATGAAGGTCACGAGGGGATGGGGACGACGAGGAGGAAGGACAATCACAGGATAATTAGGGCGAAGAGTAAAAAACAGGGCCATCTCGTAGACTACGTGAGACGTGTGTCTACGAGTCCGACTCGTAGACATACGTGAGATTCGCGCCCCTGAGGCCATAGCCCTTGCGAAGTATACAATATTCGCGTCCCCGAGGCCAGAAACCCTTCTAAAGTATACAATATTCGCGTCCCCGAAACCATAAACCCTCGAAAATCATGCAATAGTCGCGTCCTCGAGGCCATCAACCTTAATATATTAAACAATATTCGCGATCCCGAACCCATGCTATATTCGCGTGCCCGAAACCATAAACCAATGAAAATTATATAAAGTTCGCGTTCCCGAGGCTATGAACCTTGTAAATGACACGATACTCGCGCATCCGAGGCTACAAGCCCTATTCAATTATGCTACTCGCGTCCTCGAAGCTGTACAACCTCGTAAATTACATAATATTCACGCCCTCGAGGCCATAAACCCTAATATATTATACGACATTCGCGTCCCCGAAGCCATAGAACCTCGTAAAGTACACAGTAGTTGCGTCCTCGAAGCCAGAATCCTTAGCAAATTATCCGTAAGGGCTTCGCCCCCTGCCGCCGGCCCCCTCTCTCGGAGAATGCGTTATGCAAGAGCTGTCATGAGGCCTGGGCGATGTCGTGAAGCAGTATCGGAACTTCACGCGAGGTCGACTCGTAATGAGCAAAACCAATTGATCACCAGAGGGGTTACCACACCTGGCGATTGGTAAGACGTCGTGACCCTGCGGATCTGCATGAGGGGTGCCACAAAGTTTAGAAATGTGGCAAATCCCCTGTATTTTTGGACCCTGATCCTACGGATCTGCGTGAGCGGTGCCACCGAATTTCAGAAATGTCCTGACCCTACGGATCTGCGTGAGCGGTGCCACCGAATTTCAGAAATGTGGCAAATCTCTTGTGTTTTTGGACCCTGACCCTACGGATCTGCGTGAGCGATGCCACCGAATTTCAGAAATGTGGCAAATCCCATGTGTTTTTGGACCCTGACCCTACGGATCTGCGTGAGGGGTGGGCCCGAGAAGCCTCCAGGAGAGCCCCAAAGACGGCCCCAGAGGGCACCAGGACAGCTCAGGAGGCACCCAAGACGGCCCAAGAACTCCTGAAGATGGCACCGAGAGAGGTCCACAGCGGGACCACGAACCAAAGATTTGAGCTTTCAGCCCCGCGAGGGCGCAAGAGGACTCCAAGTGGCTGCCAAGCCGCCCCAACAGGCTTCCAAGAGGCATCCCAAGAGGGCAGCCAAAGCCACGCGATGTTGCCCAACGTAGCCTCAAGCAGTCCCGAATCGCTGCTCCAATACATGGCACGAAAGGGAACTCGAAAATAGCAATACGGACTTCAACAATACGTTCTGAACCTGAGTCTGTCGCTTACCAATCGCCCTCACAGGAGGTTCCGATATTGTTTCGCAACGGCGCAAAGGAATTCCAGCATAGCTCTGACATAACCCTTTCTGAGTGAGAGGGGGCCAGCGACAGGGGGCGAAGCCCTTACGGATATATACATATATATATATAAAAATATATATAGATATAGATATGTATATATATATATATATATATAGATATAGAAATGTATATATATATATATATATAGTAATATACCGGGCTACAGGGCCAGGGGCTCCATGGCCGGGACCGCAACCCCCCATGGGAGGATCGGGCCTCCGGGAGCGCCCTTGTCCGGCCCAAGAGGCGCCGAAGACGGTCCAAGCGTGCCTCGAGACGCTTACGATCGATCCAAGACGCCCAAGATGGCTCCCAGACGGCCCAAGAGGGCGCCAAGAGGGCCCCAAGATAAGCCCAAGACGGCCAAAGAGGCTCCCAAGACGCTCCAAGAGGCCTCCAAGAGGCCCCAGGAGACCCCCAAGATAAACCCAAGACGGCCAAAGAGGCCCCCAAGACGCTCCAAGAGGCCTCCAAGAGGCCCCCCCAGAGAGCCCCAAGAGGCCAAAATCGTGCATTTTACTAAGGTTTTGGATACATGTTGCCTTGCCCGCCTTTTCAGCTCTCCGACGCTCCACGACGGCTCACAGGCCTCCCGCAGACGCCCCAAGACAGCCCAAGAGGCCTCCAAGAGGCCTCCAAGAGGGCCTCAAGACGGCTCTGGAGGGCCCCAAGACGGCCCAAGACGCGCCCAAGACCGGCGAAGACCGGCGAAGAGAGGCCCAAGACGGCCCCTAAAGGGCTCCAAGAGGGGAACCGCGAACCGGAAATTCGAGCCTCCCGCCTCCACAGGGCCCCGGGAGGCCCCAAAGGGGCGCCAAGAGGCCCCACGAGACCCCCAAGATAAACCCAAGACGGCCAAAGAGGCCCCCAAGACGCTCCAAGAGGCCTCCAAGAGGCCCCCCCAGAGAGCCCCAAGAGGCCCAAATCGTGCATTTTACTAAGGTTTTGGATACATGTTGCCTTTCCCGCCTTTTCAGCTCTCCGACGCTCCACGACGGCTCACAGGCCTCCCGCAGACGACCCAAGACAGCCCAAGAGGCCTCCAAGAGGGCCTCAAGACGGCTCTGGAGGGCCCCAAGACGGCCCAAGACGCGCCCAAGACGGGCGAAAAGAAACCCAAGAGGGCCCCAAGAGGGCTCCAAGAGGGGAACCGCGAACCGGAAATTCGAGCCTCCCGCCTCCACAGGGCCCCGGGAGGCCCCAAAGGGGCGCCAAGAGGCCCCACGAGACCCCCCAGAGGCACCCAGGAGGCCCGAACGAGGCTTCACGAGGCTCCCAAACAGCCCCGAGGAACCTTACAACGGACGGTGCGGACGAGCCGATTTTTGGACCGCCGCCGCCGCCGGTCCAAGAAAACGGCCTCCTGGACGCCATGCGCGCCGTGGCCCTCCTGCGGTGGCACATCCCGCCCCGGGCCAGCGCAGAGGCCCTCGGATCCCAGAGAGAATTCTCCGTCGTCGGCGGTGTCGCCGTCGTCGGCGCCGTCGTCGTCGTCGACGCCGTCCCCGCCCCGGTCGCCCCTCGGGACCGCGCTCGCCCCTTCGACTTCTCGGCTCGCCTCCCGCCGATGTTCTTGTCGCCCTTCGACTTTCGGAGGCTCCTCCGGGGGTCCTGGGTCCAGTGCTCTGGCCTCTCCAGAGCGCTTCAAGTGGCCGAAATCGGTAATTTTTCAAAGGTTTTGGAGAGATTTAGCCTTTTCGGCTGTCCGTCGTTCCAACACGACCCAATAGGCCCCCAAGAGCGCCCAAAGACGGCCCAAGAGGGCCCCCAGACGACCCCGGAGGCGCCCAAGACAGCCCAAGAGAGCCCCAAGACGGCCCCAAGATGCGCCCACGAGGGGACCACGAAACCAAAATTCTACCCTCCCGCTTGAAGAGTGCCCCAGGAGGCCCCAAGGAGCCCCCAAGAGGCCCCAGGAGGCCCCCGAGAGGCACCCAGGAGGCCCAAACGAGGCTTCAAAAGGCCACAAAACAGCCCCGAGGAGGCCCCACTACGGCCCCAAAACGGTCACCGAGAAGATGCGAAACTGCGTTCACTACGTTCCTGACAGGCCAACCACGAGATCCAAACCAACACCCATGAGGCCTCTGACCCACCACCTAGGGCACCCGCCGCCCGTTCGCCGTCCGCGTAGCACGCACCACTCTGTACTCAACAGCTTCAGTCTCCAAGACAACACCCTGTAGTGAACAGCCCCCGTCTTCAAGGCAACACCCTGTGCTCAACAAGCTCCCGCTGCAAGAGAGCACCCTTAAGGAATTCATTCAAATCCCGACCCGCCCGCCCGCCCGCCACCCGCCCGCCCGCCGCCCGCCTGGCCGCTCGCCCGCCTTCCGCGTAGCACGCGCCACCCTGCACTCAACAGCCTCCGCCTCCAAGACAACACCTAGCATTCAACAGCCCCCAGCGCTCCCGGGACTGCCCAGGTCCGCTCCCAAACGCGCCACGACACGCCAAGAGGGCCCTAAAGCTTGCCAAGACAGCCTCAAGAGGCCCCGGACACGCCGACGGCCGACGACGCCGCCAAAACGCCCCAAGAGCGCCTCCAGAGGCCCCTCCACAGGGCCCCGCATTTTTGCGCTATCGCATGTTCCGCCTCCCCACGGTCCCGGACGGCGTCAGAGGCCGTTCAGATCGCTCCAAGACGGCCGAAGAGGCTCCCAAGAAAGACCAGAGACGGCCCAGGAGGCTCCCCAGATAATTCAA